AAAGTTTTCATGGACTGACTGGTGTAGGTAATATATTAGGTTCCAGAATAGATACGGAACTTTTTGACTGGATACCAATAGGTAGTCGTAAGTGCACCATCCAACTGAATGTAGATGGAAGAACTTGGATTAGGACACACGATGATGCTTGTTCGTAGTCTTTGCTTAGGCAGCTAACGACTGCACTTCCAATGATACAGAAAATAAACCCCCTCTAAAACTGGCTTTGTCTCTACACAAAAGAAAACATTAAGATATTGTCGCAGTAGCAAGGATGTATCCAAGGAATTCCATGCGAAAAAACTAACAGCGCTGATCATCTCCTACAATATTTTTCTGAAAGTCACTTGTTTCTGGTCAACATGGACTTATGCGTAAGTAAAGGCACTGTCTAGCACGGGCATTCACCTACAACAAACCAACTGTGAATACATATAGATCTTATTGCTTTAGGCTTGTGATGCAGGATTTTCGCTGTTTCTGGATCGTCGGTTTGAGCTTCTACAAATTCGAATGTGGATTTCTATAACCTCATATGGACTGGTTGATGTGACAAGACTCATTCCAGCTAAGTATCGTCATAAGGATGAATGAAAGTAGCCTAGGCGCGAATAGACGAGGACCCTCCGCAGTCACAGTGATCAATGATGAACAGTGAAAGCAAAGGAGGTAGGAAGGTTATCAGCACAAGCGATTACTTGGCAAGTACTTCGGTTTGTTAATAATGCCGAAAGGAAGGTATTGTTTGATGAGACTGTTGCTCAAGAGGATGGGTCGCTGATGTCCTCTGACGGGAAGTGGCTAGAAGATTGAGCGGAGAACTGTGAAGAGCAGTTCAACTGGGCTAGTGTAATGCTGGTTTACCTGGGATCTGATCTTAACCCTAATGGCATATAGATATCGGTCCTTCATCTCCCCTCGAAGAAGAGGAGGCTGTGTCAACAGTAAAATCATACAAAGTGGCAGGACCTAATGGTTTGCCACCGAAGATAAGGAGGGAGAAAATTAATTAGTGATGTGACAAAGGTACTAGTTAGTGTAAGGATATCGAGAGTAGTCCCGTCCTTCTAATCTGGATAACTAATTATTCTAGTCAGTGTGAAGGGTAAGAAGCCTTCTTGTTATAACCACAGTGGAATCAGTTTGACAAATATTCCGTCTAAGATCCTAGGATGCATACTTTTTAATGCCAAAACCCAAGAACAACAAATGGGTAGGTCTCAGACCTGGACGAAACTGTATCCATCAGATCTTCATTCCACCACAGGTTCTTGAACTCAGGTTTTGCTGCTAGTGCCCGACACATGATTTTTCTTCATCTTAAGGCAACATTTTCTGTCAAGCAAGAGGTGTCATGACACTATCTGACTGTGAAAGTGGTACCCAGCAAGTATGTTGTTTTAATCAAAGCACTGTAATTTAACTCCTGTAGCCACGTACGGGATTATGGCCGCGTATCATCTTAAGTGACGACAATCATTGACATCCACCAGGGGTGTCTGTTATCAATGTTCCTGTTCAACTTCGTGAAAGACGTACTAGTGGACGTAACCCAGGTACCTGTGACTTACTCCTAACAAGGGAAGTGGTATGCCGATGGTATTGTCCTGTTAGGCAGAGACGCTAATAAAATAATAATATAACTCATCACTACATAATTATTTTTTGACCCTTAGTAAACAAGCACATACACATACACTCAAATTCATGCCCAATAAATGTGTATAAATGAATCATCTGTAGATTTTGTCTCCTTACTTCGTAATTGTTTCATCAATATTGATTTCTTTGTACATTTAGCACACTAGACTGATAGCAGTTCTACCATTCCATTCGATTTGATCTCCATTCACCCATAACACTGACTGTTTCAATGTAGTGAAATCGTACATCATGCCTTATTTCGGCTATTGTATTTCACTTATTCTCATGGATTTATAGCTGTAGACCCCAAAGAAGTTATTGAGAACAGTTGTTCACTCAAATTATTCTTGTTCTAAATACAATATTCTGAACGCATTGAGCAGAAATCTTGTTATTCGACATTACATTTGTTTTTTCGATATACCATACAGTGATACGGTATTAAAGTAAATAATACTATATCATTTTATGCCACACCAAAAAACGAATCTCATATGGAATTACATTCTACTACAGGGTCCACGATTTCCACTCTTATTTAGAAATCTTATTACATTTGGCATACTTTTTAGACATGTCAAGAGTAAGATGATACTTCGGGACTGTTCTGTAGCTGCTCCTTGTTTATGGATAGAATGTGAAGTAGTGGAATGTGTTATCCATTTAAGTTACTACAAGGTTGCATCAGTCCAGGTGGGAATGTTTTGGACGAAATGACGGCTAAGGCTTAAATTACCTATTTCGCATTTGTCAACTTATGATACCTTCAGTGCCATCAAAATATTCGATAACATATTACAGAAAGAGTATACTGTGCCTCAGGTTGCTTTTTCAATATGCCCGTAAGACATAAATGCTTGAATAAAGGGTGAAACGTCATACGTTTTCACAGCAGATATCCTCACAGCATCACTCATTCATGGCGGGACCACTCTGTGAGAGGTGTTGAGGTTTGATGATAGGTACTAGGCAAAATGAGTTAGTCAGTCAACAGTGTTGTAAATCTTCATCGAATGATCTGAAATCAACAGGTATTGTATGTGATGAGGCACCACCCGCCTCGATGTATTATGTAAGTTTAAATATGGTTAGATTGGAAGAAGGCTAGAAGGGGTGAGATCAAGACGTGTCACGAGTTCACGAGGTATTTGACCGTTGATCTGAGTCGGGTGGGATGTGGACTGTCTAGTTGGGGTCCTCCAGACAGTAGAACAATCGGTTCGAGAATCTTGATGATACGATTGAGAATTGGTTACATAAGAGCAGATATATTCTCTCATTCCTCAACATTTCTAAAGCTTCAACAACTTCACTAACCTTCATTTACTTCACCTCTCTCGAGCCATACACTTTTGTCTACCTTAGTTATGCTCTTTTTCTACTCACTTGTTCTTTGCATATTGTAATGAAGTGTGGCAAGTTGAACCGATGTGGTTCTATGCAAAATTCTAATTTGATCTGTATCACTCAGAAATAACTATGAAGTATTACTTCAGTTGATTTTGACGTAAAAAATATTGTCTGTGAAAATTTACCCTAACCCTAAAACTACGTATTACATTTGATAATACTAACTGCTCCATATATCTTTTTTTAAAAAGACAGGAGTGGTGCTTTTGTTTTTATATGGTGCAGATCACAAGATGCAGAATCTTTTTTGGTATAAATATATGTATCACAGTGTAATCTAGTTGTATTAATCAAGTGGATTTTGTTATCAGATAACTGTATGATGAAATTTAAGTAAACAGATATTCTGGTTTATGCAGTGGCAATCATAAAGGATGATACCTATCATAACAACTGGGGGATAACTATATGTCGAATGTGGGCACAGTTGCAGAATGTAATTCCGTATTAGATTAGTCCGTTTGATTAAGTATTAGTATCACTTCCCAAAATAACGCCAAATAACTATATAGCATGTAGAATATACTAATCTATTATGTATTATTATCATGAGGATATTTAGTACTCGGTGTTTTTAAGATTTTCAAAAATAGTTTTGAAACTTTGCTACGGGCTATTATTGAGGTTGTGTGAAAAAGTTATTGTGGGGTTTACGAATATCTTTTCCTCACTGGTCAGAAGTTGCAATGACTGATTGTTAATTTCACCTTAATTCATTATTTTGAGAGGTGCTAATCGTCATATTTAAGCCGGAAAATTGAGTTTGCGAAATATGTACCCAACAGCCCTGCCATCTTTGAGTTCAGACCGAACTTTCGAATCTGTAGGTAAATTACATTTATTAATCTTCATATATTTAATATTTATTTCCAATATCAAACCAATTTTTTAACCCTGAAGTAGGTCTTTTCATCATTATTTGATGTTAAAATATATTCTTATAGGGCGAAAAATACGAAGAAATCATTTGCTACTGAGTACATACAAATATTTCAGATGTTTTCTTAGAATTGTTTGCTTATTTATGAAGGTTAAAGATCATATTACCCTGTACAATAAGCATATATAAGTAGAACTGAATTCACATGTGCCAAAATAATTTTGTTTTGTAGATGGTCTGTACAATAAAGAAAATCCTAACGTGTAACTCCAAGATAGCATGTACGAAATAAAATACTTCATGAGGTACATTTCCGCTTTGAAATAATTAATATAATTTAGTTTTTTGATTTTTGTGGGTATCTTTTGCATTGAAATCCTTAAAAAGTACTAAATTGTCTGTCTTTTAGACTTATATTTGACAAACATTTCTGCAGCTAAGTGTATCCACTTTATCAAATTTATCTTACGAGGTAAGACATGAAACATTCGCTGTTCGAAAATAACAAAAAATACCATCACACTTAAATATCACACTCAGTGTCCTTTTATCCTAAGATGACACGAGTCTTACTATTCTGCAACCATTTTCTTCTGCATAAAACAATAGGCTTTTTTAAACTAGCATGAACTGGTTCAAGATCCAATATACATCATTGAGGATATGCTGAATGCACGTCTTTCACAGAATTATAATCTGTTAATGATAAAAATGCTTTTCCTAAGAAAGTAGAACATTTTAAACAAATATACAGAAGGAGATACCAACAAAAGATAAAGTTTTCACTATTATATAGGAGGAAATACAACATAGATATGTTTATTGGTTGAGATGTAAAGGGAAAGTAATAATTTCCGTTTCTAGAAAAGCTTTTCTTTGAAATATTTGAGCTGTATCAAAGTGGATATAAAAGTATTTACAGCTTTCTCAGTATCATTTAATGTTATTTTTTTGGACGAAATGAGATCATCAAATAATTTGAGGAATTATGTATTGAAAATAAGGTTATAAAATTTGCGTGAAATAACGTCTATAATAATAAAAATTATACAATACTGAGATAGAGTTATGCATTTTGTAAGGGACATGTTGGATCGGGCCAGTACCGATCAGTTGAACCTTGGTCTGTATCACTATCTTCTTGCGGGGCATTTGAATTATCATGATTTGACCCTGAGTGTTCTGGCCAGCTGGAATTTTCATCTATAGCATCTTCACCAGCTTGTTCTGCTAAGCTCGAATCTGCCACACTTCTATGAAGTTGCAGTTGTCTGAGATAATAGCGTCTTTGACGAGCATTGCGTCGAAGCCAGAGTTGACGGTTGAGAAAAGGAAGGTTATTTTCTGAGTCCGTATCGATCGTAGCAAGAATATAGGAAGTTTCGCTAGGGTTTGCTTGATCCAAATTGTTTTCTTCTGGATTAGGAATGGCATCAGGCCAATGGGGCCACACATATCCTGCTGCAGCTTCAAATGACGTATTTATTGGGAAGTTGTTTCTAGCATCATTTCCTGTTCTTTGAATATTCGCTACTGGTTCACTAGCAGAAGGATGTTGCAAATTTCTGGATTCGATTGGATGTAATGAACCTCCAGGCGAAGTTTGAATATTTTGACTTGGTGGGCTAACTAGCATGCTGCTTCTACTTTCGCTACTTGTGTAACCAAAATTAGATAGCATTAAGTGGCTAAGTGAACTATCTCGATCACTTGATAGCAGAGGTTGACCACTACTTGCCCATGAGTCAGTTAGAAACAGACCAACACTAAACTGCTCATTATTCTGGTTGTTTCTAGATGTGGTGTTATTCATTTGAAAATTGGGGTCAATATTTCCTGTTGCACTTGTTTCATCAACTTTAATTAGTGTTGGATGACTGTGGGTAGCAAATGGCGAATGACTCCAGCGCTCACCTATGCCGGAATTCATACTTATGGATGTCGACATTGTATAATCTGTGCGACCACCAATGCTACGTCGTGTGTCGTGGATATTTCCCCAAGCGACTTGCTTGCAAAACTGTTGAAGGTAATAGCAAATTAGTCCTTACACGCTTACTAGTATCAAACCGTCGGTTTGTTAACCCACTGCCTGAACTTGAATTCTGTAAAGGTGAACTGGAGTTTCCACTTTTCATTGACTGAAATGATGGGACATTTTGCTTAGATTGCTGAAAACGCTCACCAGAAAATCGTGTGGTTGGATAGATAGTAGCACGACTTCTTGTGTCACCTCCGGTGATACTGTACACTTCAATGTTTGAACTGCTTTCGTTCTGAAGTACCAAGGGAAAGAAAATAAGTTTGAGACTTGGCATATCTACCCGAACTGACTAAACAATAGCATGAAAATTAAAAAAATTGATTTTATCTATTGAATGTAAAAAAGACCTATTACTACTAGTGAACATAAACCATTAGGATTAGTAGTTTTCATATTCATCAGTCATTATGCTAGTTTTGTTCTTGTACATTAGTCTAAACTGTAATATCTGATAACTGTTAACCTACGTCATTGTGTAACAAGTTGTAGTAGGTTTTAATAGACAGAATTTTTTGCTCAGATGCAGTTTTTAAACAGGTCTAGATGTACTAAGACATATTATAATTTTTGTGTGATAAAAGATGTTTGTTGTACTATGAAACTAAAATTCACCATTAATAAACATTTTGGGCAGCCTACTTGAACTTTAGGCTACCAAATTTATCCATCGAACATTTTTCATCAAATTCTTTCTTTTCAGTTTGTTTCAATCATTTAAATATATCCTTTGAATGTAACATGTGCTCTTAGGCATTCTTGAACTGTTTCCAACTCTCTGTTTCTCGAGTCAGTAATACAGCAGAGAAAAGAATGTTACGTCATATGGGAATGGACTTATTTCTGTATATTTCTATCCATCAGATGCTTAGCTTGAGTTTCAGATTTTCGTGCAGTCTGAACTAACCGCCACCGCAAAAATTACGTTTGCAATTCTGTTGATTCTTCATTACGGACTGGATGCCCATCCCGAACCAGCTGGCTATTTCACATTATTTCCCTCAATACTGTTATTATTAACATCATTCTGATACAATAACCATTTCGTCTAAAAGTATTGTTCTGGGGGTATTTTGTTGAAAAATTACATTCTGAGAATTCCACACTGTCATACATATTGTTTGGAATAAGGCGATTGTTACTATTATTATTTCCCGCTCTAATTATCATTAAAATAAAACTACTTTCTTTGGTTGAAACATTAACGTCCGATTTCAAAATCGTGACACAAATATAACTCTTCTTGTGGTAAACTGAATTTCTGACAGCTGAAAAACTTTTATTTGTGTGTATCCATTCAGAGATTTTCTCCATAAACTTCACATAGTTAGCTGACGTATAAAATTGATTGAACTGGGGAAATACCTATGATATTCGTTCTGATCTGCTTGCTCGCTTTGATTCTTATCTTGAAAGTCCCCAAAACAGTTGAGGCAATATAATTCACCGATGAAATCAAATCTTTGCATGAATTATGTTATTTTCATGTGTGATAAGCAAACATACATTTAACACATTACGGGAAAAAGAATAAATACCCGCTCTTCTTGGATGAAATTCTGACTCAAAGAAAATGTTTCTGTAAAACGATCAATTTACAGGAAACTGATTTGAGCAGAGAATTACCTAAATTTCCATAGCTTTTTTCCAATGCAATATAACTGACGCTTGATAAAGTGTCTATTTGAGGATCCAAATTATCCATGTAGCAGGCACAACCAATGATGACATCAAAATTAAAAGTAATAAGGTTACCGAAATACGATATCCATCAAAACTCAAAAATTGATGCAGAAAGCAAATTAAGTTAAAGCTTATTCTGGATTAGATTTCAAAGAAAAGCATTTATACCATCTTGATGCAAAGAATAGAATAAAGTAGCATATTTTTTAGAAACATTATCCTAAAGTATAATGTGGCATGGCTTATCATATTTGGGAACATTGCACATGTTGTGGTGCAAAACTGATCTTCAGTTGTACTTTCGAGGCCTGAATTACCGGGTGATCACTTGAATTCCATACACTGGTGGTGCTGATGTCATCTTATAACCGAGTATGACCTCACCTCCATACACTTGCATTTTTCGTATGAAAAACCTTAAGTAGTAAATCTGTTAAAGAAATGTTAGAAACACAAGGCGCTGGCACATCAAGACAGTTAAACGAACTACGTTTTCGAATTATACCATTGAATTCATAAGACGGAAAAATTGTTTTTAAAAAGTGAAATCTAGATGATCGTCGAAGAAATATAGTTAGGGGAAATTGTATATTATTGACAGAATTAGAAAATTAACGACTATTCAGACCTCAGTTAGGCATGAAACAAGGTACTTACGATTTGTTATTATTTCACGGGCATAGTATTTATTGACCTCTTTTCTTGGTTCAGTAATCTCCTAACTACTGTTGTTTGATTATAGTTACTACCTTGAGATTTACTTTCTTACATCCAATTTTTAAAAGTTACTGAAAGTTATCACTGTAACTAATAATCTGCTTTATCTTTCACTACTACTTCACAATATACTTGACTCTACGGAAAATTAATTAATTTTCCTTCGTACATTTTTAATTATTACGTAGAGTTAACCTGTTGACCAATAATAGACATACTTGGTGTGTCGTAATTATAAGTATCATTGTACACCACTTGAAAGTGCTTAATCCAGGACATGTCTGGCAAAGACTACGTGTTCCATATTGGTGGTTTATAGGAATTTAAATTTCTAAGGTACTGTTTTTTAAAAACTAACATCAAGAGAGGAACCACTTAAGAGTCGGCAGCAATACACAGTTATTTCGTTCTAACATGAAGCTCATAAGCAGTGGGCACCTATGTACACTGCAGCCAAGGATTTTTAGGTTATGCTGCGAAAAAGTTGCCACTGAGACAGTTCACTGGAATCCAATGGTATATATCTTTTTAGATTTGTCAATTTGCAATTAAGCTAGTATTCCATCCGAAGTCATCGGAGAGTATATATCCTCACGTCCAACTTGGTTGAGCCAACAGGTCATAGCTATTTATTTGATTTTCTAAAAACCATCACGGTGCACTTGGAAAATGAGCACTGCAAGTTATTTAAGTGGTGGTTTGTGGAGACTGATCGGTTTCCAGGCAGTTTTCATCACAGACTGAAATTCGTTGCAAAACGGTAGTTATCAAAATTGCGTATGATGTCTATTTGACGACTATGTTGCACTTCCTGCCAGAAGGAGCGTGACAGTAGTTGGGTTATCCTGGTGGATGACCATGAAAATACTGCCTTCCCTATCAAAAGAGGCGATTCGAAATTTTCAATCCTTCAAGTAACATACTCCTCCCTGACATGCGGTCTTTCTGTGCCAGTGGTATAGTTTCTTTGACATCTGGTAGTAGCATAATCGAGTGTCAACAAAAGTTCGGAGGCAGGAAGTGTGTTGCTTAAACAAACCTCCACTGACAGTTTGTGCACTGCTTGATTGAGTTGTGCCGCAAGGTTTAAAAGGAATAGTAAATCTCATCCACACTTTCTAGATTTAGCTGCATATACATAGATTGATTACAGTGCGAATAAAGTTAAAAGTGAGTTCTGCAAAAAACTGTCCAGCTTTTTGTTGAGAGATAGAGGTTCGAAAGTGGTTCTCATCGAAAGTTAACGCACAGGTAAGCAGTCTAATTCAGACATCAAGGCATTAAGGTGGTAATTCCAGAATCCCAGCCAACTGAAAGAATAACGACACTTATCGACTGCAACTTTACACAGTTAGCTACTTTTTCTAGGCTAACTCGAACCTCAGACATAAATAAAGATATAGCCTGTTGTCGTGCCCACCAACTTAATTTATTTGATGAATACAGACCATGTTTCTGTCAGTAACCGCCGGAGGGTTGCCGCTCCCTTTTAAGCATATGTTCAGGAACGGTCCACGTGGTCGCCCATGTCTTCTAGTAAATATGCGGGAAAAAGGCGGTAAAAAGATCACTGCAAGTAAAGTTTAACTATGAGAATTGTAAGGCCAATTTCAGTGGCTAGCCAGTTACAGAAACAGGGCAACCTCACACACTGTTAAGAAATCCAAGGCATGTCCAGTATGCTGTGAAAAAACATTAGACACCGTAAACGACTGTCAGAAGGAGACTAGGAAGAGTCAGTGCACCTCATCAGCTTCTTTCGAGTAAATGCATGCAATCGAAAACGTTTCTGCGCTATTTTGGCAAAAAAGATAGAGGGAAGTAGCTCAAAGGTAGAATAAATAGGAGGATGACCAGAGAACATCAGAAAAGCCAAGTGGCGAAGACTAAATAGATAAAAAAACAGTGTGACAGATAACATTGAGCGTCTATTTAGACCAACCAAAGAAACTTAGGCAAATGTTTGTGCTTAGTGAAGTAAAAGTGGAGAAGGATATGTCTGTGATTCAGTGGCAGTGAAAATGACTAAAACGATGGGTGGAGAACTTCAAGGGATAGCTTAGCATGCCTCCAGTTAGTCTTTGGTTGTACAATTTCTCACCAGGTCATGAATGGAAAATTTAAATTAGGGATCCAATTCTTCGCGAAGTCAGGAAGTCTGTAAGCTGTTTGAAACGTGGTGGAGCGGCAGAGCCTGATGAACTTGCACCAATGGCAGTCTAGGATGGTTGGAATCTATTATTTTTTTAAAGATTAACTGATGTGTTTACTACCGTGACATATGATTCCCTCTTACAGGTCACAATAACTGATTGCCCAGGTCTTAAAGAAAAGAGGGAGATCCTACTATGATAGCGTAATCAATAACGTAATAGTGCTTTGGATTCTAGGTTTAGCAGTCATCAAATGGCTAAGGGAGTTTCCAAGAGTTCAATT